ACTTCATGCTTGTTTGGACACACAAACTCCAACGTATTCTCAGGGTTTATCACAGCTCGATCTCCGCAATCGCACAGAGGAGGTTCCTCGAGTCGTCTAACGGCGGCTAGGTGCTTCTCCTTAGCCGTCATTGTCGGAGGGTTAGGGGGGGTGGAACCCACCGCTTGAAGTGATCACGTGGATGTATCCCTCTAAACCAATCGTCGAAAAAGAGGTACCTAGGATCAAACTTTTCTGCACCATCGATCCACTGAAAGAAAAAGCACCTCTCATGGTCCTACACAACGAGATTCCAATAATATATTAGTACTATACTTAAACAAGTAAAGAAAAAGGATAGTACAAATAATTTCTTACATTAAACCGACTACATGTGTAGAAGCAACAGCAATCAGTGTCCGGATGTTTCGATTGAAAAACATGGGCGGAAAACCACAATCACAGATTAGGGACAGGGAAGGTTCGAGGAGGAGGGGGCATCTTTGCTAGACGCGTCGGGGTATAATTCGCGAGGACGACCCCGTTTTCGCCAAAACTCCTCCCTGAAACATTTCTTGCATCTAACAAATAGGATGTAATTTAGCAAACATAAATAAAAACATCACAACAAAATATCAGTGAGAACCATAACTACAATACAATCAATTTCGTTATAAGAACCAAAAGCAGTTAACATTATACCCTAAACCTAGGGTTTCTTATTTCATCCACAACAATAAAACCCATAACATAACTACATGCGGCTTGGTTTGCTAGCATTTTTCACGCCTTGAAATGAACCTACAGTTGTATAATACATATATTGAGGGATACAATGAAAACCTAAGTGATGATGATTCTTAGGTTCAAAAATCCAACTAATATATACCGAATCGATGCGAAAAAAACAAGGAGGAGAGCGAGGATACCTTGCTCTCGAAGATCTACGGATCAAATCAAGGTTTTCAAGGTCCAATATGTCGATTCGTGAGGTAGGATGAAGTGACGAGAAAAAAACCCGAAGAGAAAGAAGAGGAAGAACGCCTTCGGGGAAGAAGGTCAAGCGGGGTTAAATCTGGTAGCTCGGCGCCATAGTGAGTGGCGCCGAGCTCGGCATAAGATCTACGGCGAGCGCCATCCGCCATCCGCTCAAGCGCCGAGCCCTTTGCAGAGCCGTTTGCCCGTGGCCGAGGCTCGGCGCCAGATCACAGAGCGCCGAGAGCTCGGCGCCACTCACTCTGCCCCGAGCCAAGGGTCCATTTCTGGAATTCTTTCCGCCAGGGGTCTATTTGAGAGAAACTTTCGAAAAAAGGGCCAAAAAGTAAAAAATTCGGCAAAAACGACGGCGCTGTCGCGTGCGTGAGGAGTTACGAACTGCGCTACAGTAGTTTTCAGGGCTAGCTGGTCAACACAACACGATTTCCAGAGAAGTACATAATAAATACGTACCTATATTATACGTACAGTATCGATCAGTGGACGTACTCCAGCTTTCGTTTGACCAGGCAGTTGACGTATCATGTCATCGCTTGACCACTCCGGCAAATCTAGATCGAGTTTTTTTTTTTTTTTGAGACGAGTGGATCCAGCTTTGCCCATGGAAGAAGAATAATGGACATTTGAATCAGTCCAAGAACCAGAAGCTTTGGTTTGGTCAGTGCACACTGGAGTGGCCGCGTGCCCGCGTGAATGCATATCCTTGGCCTGCAAGGTAGAGTGCTCGTAAGAACAGGACCAAGATGTCATCACGCCCCAATGCAAAAGTCTGGCACTCTCGCTCACCCAGTCAGCCCGGCCCGGCTGGCGTAAGCACCGGCGGGCCACCGGCGGCTAGGCACCGCGGACGAATGGACACAAGCCGTCCCTCAACTCCACTTCTCCACTCCACGTGCTGCTGTAGGTGCCGTGCCGGCTTTCCAAAAGCTGAAAAAAATAAAAGCCTTTTGAAGCATTCTCTCGCGCTGAAAAGAAGAAGACAAAAAGCCCAACCGCGCACATCGCGGTTCTTCTGCCGCGAAGTCGCATGCAAACACCTGATCCTGGCGGGCAAGGACCGGCGTGCTGATCGGAGAGACCACCAGATCAGAAAGTATGTTCTGACGAACGAACGAACGCACTACCAGGTTTTTTTTTTTTTGGATCAAAAGCATTTCACCCGGCTTTATTGAAAACTTAACGAAAGCCCAAGATCATGCTGGGACTACCGTTGAAATCTCCTCGCAGGCGTTGTTGCCTCATGATTCAGCTATAAGGATACCCCATGATTTAACGGACGGACGGATGCAAGATCGTAGACCCCAAGTATGTGTCCAAGGATGAGCCTTTAATTTATGACCGGAGAGACCCCAAGCATAGGGTTGGAAGATTTACTCATGAGCCCATCGACTTTTCATAAAAGATGTCGTGGATAAATATGTCTTCAACTAGCATCTACCTTTTATAGCTAATGTCTGCATATTCCAAGGATAAAAGACATACTTTCGTGTTCCCTAGTTGTTACACTAGATTCTATAGATGGCAAGCTAGCATCGATTGATATTCCAATAACAGGCGGCCTTTTGTGCCTCATCTACCTTTTTATAGCTAATGTCTGCATATTCCAAGGATAAAAGACATATTTTCGTGTTCCCTAGTTGTTACGCTAGATTCTATAGATGGCAAGCTAGCATCGATTGATATTCCAATAACAGACGACCTTTCGTGCCTCGCTGGCCTAGTTACAATCCAAGATGTGGGTGAAGTACTCAAGTATAGCATCACTCATTGTATCGAGATCCTTGACATAGCGGATAGCACAACCCAAAATCTATCGTGTCGTGCCATAGGCGGCTCTAAAAATGCACGGCCTAAAGTCCCATCTCTTCCTCCATTCATTGCCAAATTTTGACATTAGTGCTCAAAGATATATGCATCAAAGGCTATGCAAAAATCAAATGTGACCATGTTATTTGATCGAAGGAACATTATATCATAGAGCTAGTCAATATGGTTGACTATTCATCTCAAGAACCATATAATTTTGCGAACGGTATAAGTGGACTCCATCTTTCATTTATTTGATCAGGCAGTCATCGCTTGACCACTCTTGCAAATCTATATTCTTCTAGAGATGAGTGGTTGCAGCTTGCCTGTGCAAGAATAGTGGACATTTGATTTTTCTTCTTCTTTTTTTCTAAATTCTAAAAACAGACCAAGAACCAGTAGCATAGGCTCGTCAGTGCGCACTGAAGTCTGGAATCGTCGAGTGAATGCAGGGCTTTTTTGACGATGGAGAAGGGAAGGGAGAACCTTGGCCTTCAAGGTACGAGCACAGGATGATGTTGATTGGAGGAACATGTCATGTCCCAATCCCAATGCAGAGCCTTTTGGTTCAGCTCTGAACTCCACGCGGCGAGAATCGCCACGGATCTGATGCTGCACGGTCGTGGGTTTCGATTGGACGTTCCGCTGCAGGTGCCGTATTTTTATACTTTTTTCTGAAAATGCGTGCCGGCTTTTCAAAAGCCAAAATCGTCTGCAGACCTGTGCAGCTTTTTTGGAAAAGTACGTACGAACTCGCTTCTTCTGTTGTGTCGCGAATCTCCAAACACATGATGAGAAGATGATCGTTGATCGATCCAGGCATGGAAAGACGTCAGCAAATTCGTTCTGACCAATGGACGCGGCAGGGGAGAGCCAGTTTTGGGCCACGTGGTGATTCAGGGAATGAAATTTCTGCAACGTTGCCTCGCCGTGGCCCATGGCTAAACGGACGGACGGATGCAGGAGACTGGAGACCCAAGACCTGCGCTTCAAGTCAACTCGGCGACGGGTGCATTCAGTTCTGTCGCGGCCTTGCAGGGAGCCGGGGACACCACACTCGTTGTCCATGCAAACTATGGCAGCGACAGTACAATCCATGCACCGGCAAGTTCGAGCTTCCCGGAAGCTTAGTTGTGTACGATACGATACAATCCCTCTCACACATACATTAGTACGATCACTTTCGAGCTTGGAGTAACCAAGCGCCACCGCTGTACGCAGTAACGATATCAGTATCACTTTCTCGATCGCTTCCACTGGCAACAGCGCCGCCAGCGCCAAGTCACTAAGGGTGTGATTGGTTGCTATGGTGAGGGAGAGCCGGGATGGAGAGCCGGTCCAGGACGGTGAGATGCATGCTCAAACAGTGCACTTAGTCTTGTTTGGTTGTCTTTGTTGTTGGTCCAGTATGAGATGACATTTTGTTTGGTTGCATGCATGGATGTGAGTTTTGAGTGTATGACACATGGGTCCTGGGCCATACGTCGCACCACACCATCCCGGCGCGATCTCCTTTGGCGGCTGCGTTTCCACTTGCACGCGGCAGGGCAACGCCGCAACGGCCTCCCTGAGACCCAGAGTCCCTGGCCACCCACCCACCGCGCCCACGCGCGGCGCGGACGAGTCCAAGCAGCAGCAAGCACCGGGAGCGGACCGACGACTCGAGCGAGCGAACAGAGAAAAATAGATAATTCCTCGCGACGTCATCACCGGCTTTCTTAACGGCTTTTAGCCCACTGATCCGGCCAGCGCGTCCGTCGTCACGCGATCGCGCTCGATCCGATCGCCCGCGTGCCAGCCACCTTGCCTTCGTCGCGGCTTCCTTGGCCTGGCACGCAACGCCGCTCCCGTCCGGCTCGGCACGGAGCAAACGAAATCATCGGTCCGCGACCGGGGCTGTCGATGCGCCCGCCAGGCGCCAGTGGGCAGTGGCCCAGACCCCAGTGTGGGGCCCTGCCGAGTGCCGCCTTCCCGCACGCGCCGGCCTATAAACCCGGGTCGCCTTCGGGCTTCTTTGCCGCCCCCATCCAATCCAAGCACACGCCCATCGGATTCACCGCCGAGGCAGGCAGGCAGGCAGAGAGAACACACCCACGGCCATTTCCGCCCCCGCAGCTCGGACATAGCCAAGGCCCAAGGCACAGCCGGCTGCTCTCGGTCTCGCTTCCGCGCGCTAGCTAGGAGCCTAGGAGGAGGACTCGAGGAGGATCGGTTTCGCCATGGCCGACAAGGTAAACCAATCGCCTCAGAATTCTCGCTTGATTCGCACCGATTTTGGTGTTTCCATGTCCGTGTGTATGGCCCGGGGTTTTAACGGGGTTCATCGCCGCTCGTCGTGGCGCAGAAAGTGGTGCTGAAGCTGGACCTGCACGACAACAAGGACAAGCAGAAGGTGCTCAAGGCGGTCTCCACTCTCCACGGTACTTACTTCACAGTTCACTCCTCTCCTCTGCTCTGCTCTGCTTCCCTCCCCCCTCTCTTCCGTCACCGTCACGGAGGCCGGCGGCGGCACCATCCGTGTCCTGCAGAACCGCGACCTGGAGGCTGGAGCGGGGGCAGGCTTTTCAGTTCGTAACGAGTGAGTTCATGTCCGATCGAATTGTCATCATCTCTGACGGCCGCAACCCCACACGCGCAGGTATCGACTCCATCTCCGTGGACATGAAGGATTCCAAGCTGACGGTGATCGGGCTGGTCGACCCCGTCGACGTCGTGGCCAGGCTGCGCAAGGTCGGCTCCGCCACCATCGTCTCCGTCGGCCCGGCCAAGGAGGAGAAGAAGGGCGACAAGAAGGACGGCGACAAGAAGGATGGCGACAAGAAGGACGGCGACAAGAAGCCGCCGCCGCCGGTCGTGTTGTACCCGCACCAGTGGTACCCGTACGCCGCCGCGCAGTACCACCCCCACCCGTACCCACCCCAGTACGCCGTCCACAGCGCCGAGGAGGACCCCAACTCCTGCGTCATCTGTTGATGATGCCGCTTCGGCGAGGCGCAGCCGCGCAGGCTCCGTCTTCTTTTTGTAAAATCTCTGTGTAGTTGGCCTACCTCAGGCACGATCGACCGCCACTTCGTCGGTGATCGCCGGGACCGGGACAGGTTGTGGTGGTTGGCTGCTCTGCTCATCTCTATCCTGGGCCTGGCGTAGGGTTGGTCGTTGGCCCGTCCGCAGGTCGTTATACGACGGCTAGAACAATTATTATACAGGCGATCCCAAGTCTCCAAGACTAGTTATTGGGGGGTTTCAGCAGGCTGCTGATCTGATCAGCGTGACTGTGTACTGTGCATAGAATATATGTGATTTTTGTCCTTGCTATTTGGGTGTTTGAGGCATGAAAAAACTATATACATAGAGATATCTTTAAAGATTAACCTTGTAAAATATAAGTTGCAGATGTCCTGACGATGATACCGATGGTCTCGAACGATCTGGAAGTAGGATCGATGAACTGAACATGGGGCATATATATGACGATATTGTAATCATAAAATGGTTGGCATCTTAACCATATATAAATAAAATGTTCAGTTTGACGGTAAAGATCGAGTTTTTTTTTTTTTAAGAGCCAAGTTACCATAGATGGGCGTTGGACTACTTAAAGAGCCAACTACTGTGCACCTTAGGCCATTTTTTAGGGGAGAGTTTTGTATTGTATTTAATATTGCCCTGACATGTAAAATAAAATTGAAACATGAATGAAACAATCCGTCTTAATGCACAGCTTCATTTTACCATTTTATAGATATTTAATTTCATGACTCGTTTAGAGTTGAAAATTGGAACCCAAGCCAATAAAGTTTCAATTCTTCCCTTTCTTCTTAAACAGACGTCGTCGTGTCAATAAAAATATTTATGCGACGGACTATTAAATGTAGATACAATTCTTACCGAGACTGACCTTATAATAATTATTCATGATTTGTGATGACAACCGTAGACTAATGCACGAAGCTATGGACACACAGAATCACACACATGAATGCGTGTCAGGGTACGAAAGACATGGTGAGGAAGTAGCTTCTGATGAAGCAAAAAAATGTTGGTTTGGTAGTTATGCGGTGGGCAATCGGATTAGGCGCAACAAAAACAATTTACTAAACTCCAAATGATGCAAACAATCTGAAGCTACATTTCCAATCGATTTGAGTCGCTGCTGCTCCATTTATTAGGCGTCCGACTCCTAGTGGACCACGGAAATGATGTCCATTTCGACTGGAACCCAAGCACCGGTCGCAGTGGCCAGTGACCCGAGGCGAGTGTACCAGGCTACCACCAGCAGTCTGGCCGGTAGCACAGCAGCTGACCGGCCACCAGGCCAGTGCCAACTGCCAGGAGCCCTCGGCCACGTCAACTGGCGCGCGAGCCACACACCAACGCACGCGACGCGACGCGACGCGACGATTATCCTGACTCGGTTCGCCTCCCCTTCCCTCTGCCGTCCTCGCTCCCGGCCGTCCGTGCCGAAAGCATCTGGTGGGCTGGTGGCTTCCGCTTCCTCCTCCCCCTCGTCTCGGCCGGCCGTGTCCGCGCATATGTAGCGCGCCCGCCACCGACCCCTCCGCACGCCACTGTCCGCGGGGCGATCACCGACCAACCCCATCCACCTCCCTCCCTCGCTCCCGCGACCGACCCAGCCCAGACCAGCGCGCGCATGGCGATGCTGCTCCGCAAGGTGTGGGGCTCCGTGCTGGCGCGCGCCGCGGCGCCGGGTGCCGACCCGCCGCCGGGGTCCCCGCGGGCCCGCCGCGCGCATGCGCAGCGCGCGGAGCAGTTCCAGTACCAGTACCACGGCTCGCTGTCGCTGGGCGCGCTCGACGCCGTCCCCACCGACGTGCTCGCCCAGATCCTGCGCCTGCTGGGCCCGCTCGACGCTGCGCGCTCCAGCGCCGTCTGCCGCGCCTGGCGCGTCCTCGCCTCCGACAACGGCCTCTGGGCCTTCTTCCTCCGCCTCGGCCCCGAGCCCTGGGACCTCGTCGTCTTCGCCGAGACGCACCTCGCCGCCGGCCCCGTCTCGCACCCGTGGTGCGTGCCGTTCTCGCCACTCGCTTTACCTTCTGGTCGCAGTGCTTAATTCTGCCCCGTCCGCGCTCGGTGTTGTGCCTGATATCGCTTGGCATTTTGTAGGCTGTACTACGATAGCTCGCCGCAGCTCTCGTTTAAGCAGATCTACGGTCTCCGAGCGGTGGTCCCGGGTACTCTCATAGTGGATGGTAAGAGATAAGCATAATCCTGACATGTCCAATTTTACTTTCAATTAGATGCCCAGCGCTTGCTCAATCAAAACAAATATTCGGGAAACTATTGAATGAAGTAAACCTTTGATGTTTGGATTGTTGCCTAATTGACTAAGTATTTCTGCATAACAAAATGGATGGTAGTTCTGTTTGTACACCTTCAGTTACTAGGAAAGCTTACTGTACTAGAATACTCTACATTTTATATCTGTAAAAGATTGCCGTAGTACTACGATCAAATTTAACTCTTTACATGTGCTATGGAATGCTACTTTTCTTCTTTTTATTCTTTGTCTGCTGCTGTAACCTCAGTTCTTGGTGTGTCCTCTCTGTTTCTTTTATTGAAGGTGGATCTGGGTATTGCAAGTATGGCTGGAGCAAGTACGCTGCTCCTTCTGGGCGTTGTGCTACATTCTTGGTAAGCTGTGGTGATCGGTGGCAAGGGTCACATCTTAAAGGCACATGATGCCCATGAATATTGTGATGACCAATGCTAACTTACTATCTCAAGATTGGTGTTAACTGAATCATCAGAGCACAAAGAGATGTTGCTATTTTCTATGCCTGTTGTGATTATCATGCAGGAATTTGGTAACATTGAAGCACCTATGTATGCAAGGCTTCGTCACTTCTTCTCTACAATCTATACGAGGTTTGAAATTACATCTCGCTTCCACAGTACCACGTTTTTCTTTTTGGTTAGTACATCAAATTTGTCCAGTATGTCCTTTTCGTGTGTTAAAAGGGAATTTTATCAACAATACTAGTGGGCATTGCCGCATTGGGTGAATTCATATCGAGCACCTTTTGCTTTGTCTATGAAAACTTAGGCTGATTAAGCTGTGTACTGTCTAAACGATTCTCCATCTCTAGCTTTTCACGTCAGCATGAATGTCCATCGCTATTCTACGATGTGTGCTCATTTATATTTCAGCTTGCATGCTTGCTGTTGATTTCACATGCTAGGAGATAGTTCTTTCATAATGCTTTATATTTTCAATTATCTACGATAGAAAATTTCTGTGGGTGACACTCTGGTGTTCCAGCATCCTTTGCCCTATTGGGATATACAGATATGTATTCAACACAAAATTCTAGTATATTCGAAGATTGCTGTTTATTGTAATCTCTTACCCAAAAGAAGCTGACAAATGAAAAATGAAAAATTTACTTTAGTTTATTTTTTTCTCCTCTGTTTTGGTTTGAAGTCGACTGGAGCTTGAGCCTTGAGGTTTATTAAGGACTTATTTTTACCTGATGGACCATCTGTTGTGATGTTTAGTGTAAATTGTTTGCTCTTTTTCATTGTATTATACATCCTATTCTTGACTTTTACAGGATGCAAATAAAGCCTTCGACTCAACCAGTTATTGTTGTCCTTCCACTGTGTCACTCTGATGGTTTGAGTTATTGCATTCTTACTTGACCCAACTTCCTAGTTTACCGTCCTGCATTTTGATCATGTTACTTGACTGAACTTTCTATTTGTCACAGATACCCAGTCTGCTAGGGCCTCAAGAAAGCAATACAAGGAGACGTTGTACTCTGTCTTGTTTGACATGAATGTTCCTGCTGTTTGTGCTGTCGATCAAGTATGCATTATTGCATTATTTGATTACTAGTTAAACCAACAGGATTCCCCTACCTCATGTTTTCTATTTAATCAGTAATTGTTCCTTTCCTGAAACACTTTTGTCCTAATGATTTCGCTTTCGTGAATTAATTCGTGTAATTGCACCACATCAGAACCATGAGTTTTAGTCAAAGCCTGAGCTATCCAACTGAGAGCTCCGTGTTTGAATAGTGTATTCAGTATCACATATTAATGTAGACACGCCATCTTTCTTCATGGCCCAAGTGTCAAATATTGTTTGATGTTCAATTCTTCACTTGTTTGTGTGTCCTTCATTAACATGACATATTTAAAAACTATCTTTGAGTACACTTTCATGAGCAATGAGCTCACTGGCATTTGGTTTCCAGGCAGTTCTATCTTTGTATGCTTCTAAACGGACCTCTGGTATTGTTGTGCACATTGGATTCAATACAACTTCTGTTGTTCCCAGTAAGTAATTGTCCATATCTATATTATTAAGGTTTTTCAAGTATTTATTGTGTGTTCTTGTGAGTTTGTGGAACATTAGTCATGCTGTTTGGTGTCTGCATCTTTCAGCTGCACATATCAATGTCATTTACATTTCACCATTCTGATAATATATTAATATGTTTTGAACAGTCTTTCAAGGTAGGGTGATGTATGAGATAGGTGTTGAAACTGTAGGGCAAGGTGCCCTTAAACTCACTGGATTTCTCAAGGAATTAATGCAGCGGAGAAATATATCCTGTGAGTCACTGTACACTGTTCGAGCCATCAAGGAGGTAAAATTTGTTTATGCTGCAATGCTAAAGTTGTTTGGAGTACAGACATTTCTTTTAAGAATCTCACTAATATCTACAGACAAGCTAATTGTATTTAGAATGAAACTTATCTCTGGCTTCTGACTCTGCCTCTCTTTCTCTCTCATGTAAAGAAACTTTGCTACGTAGCCGCTGATTATGAAGCTGAATTACGTAAAGATACACAAGCGTCCTGCGAGGTTGATGGTGAAGGGTGGTTCACTCTGTCAGAAGAGAGATTCAAGACTCCAGAAATTCTATTTCAGCCCCATATGGGAGGAATGTACGGAATATTCAGATATTGCTTGATTTGCGCTTTCATAACAGTTTAGTTATGGTTGTTCAATATTGATCTTGCACTTGCAGGCGTGCTATGGGCTTGCATAAAGCAGTAGCTCTATGTATGGATCACTGCTATACTTCAGGAACGGTTGGTGATGACAGCTGGTACAAGACGGTCATTTTAGCTGGTGGATCGTCATGCTTGCCTGGTTTACCAGGTATTTTTCCTATGCATATTAGGGCTGATATACTCTTTAGATATTACTTAGTATCAAAAAGAAAGTGGAATAATAATGGCTAATGCTAATTATTCTAGATCTTATTTATTTCGGTGACTCTGACGAATATCATGTAATACAACAGAGAGGCTGGAGAAAGAGCTTCACCAATTTCTTCCACCTTATATCTCAGAAGGAATAAGAGTACTCCCCCCTTCATTTGGCACTGATTCTGCCTGGTTTGGTGCAAAGATGATTAGCAATGTAAGGACATGGAACCTTGATCTTTTCTGTGTTAAATTCAATTTCAACATTCATGTTAATTTCACTCGCTGATGTCTGCTTTAACTTTAGGTGAGTACTTTCACTGAGGCATGGTGTGTAAAGAAGAAACAATTCCGCCAGAAGACACGGCGGAATGGTCCATTGTTTATGAATTCCTGGTGATAAAAATTTCAGACACAAATAGGGAGTAAAAAGAATTATGAAACATGGAGTTCCTCCACGCATCGAAGTATGGTACACGACATCCAGTCCATGCTCCACGGAGCCTCCACCAGTATATAAAAGAATGAGCATTCACGCCCACAACATGTATATATGGATTATGAGCAAGTGCATCATTCGGTATTGTTGTTATAGGATGTTCTGGTAAGTTCATTGTGGTTATAGGATGTCAGCAAAAGCGCAGGAACTGTCTCGATGTTTAGCGGAACAATAGTCTCTGTTTATAGTTATATGTCTCATGAAGTTTGGTACAGTTCTAAATGTTGTAAAACATTTTGTAAATGAGATGATTTTTTTTTTATTGCTGATGCAACTGTGATGCATGTTGTTCATCGATTTGGTAATGGTTGGAGCTTGCAGTCAGTTCTAGGTGGGGTTGGGGAAGGCTGAATACACCCTCCGTTTTGAAATACAAAGAATCCAAATTTCTTCTAAGTCAAAACTATTCTAACTTTGATCAAGCTTATAGAAAAGGAGCAGAATATTTATGACATCATTGTAATGTATATGTATAATTTCATAATAATGTACCTCTTTGTGGTAGATATTAATACTCTCTATAAACTTGATATTAAGGCAGTTCCAATTCGGAAACTATGAGGCTACATATTTTCAATAGCTCCTTCAAAATGAAATTTTATTCAATCAATGTTTTCTTCTATCATTCATCTATCCATCTATTACATCTATTCATATCTTGGTTAGTGCCCTTATATACAGGGTTCACTCCCTGTCATATTGCTGAATTCATACTCCATCAGTCCATCGAAGTTAACTATAATAAGCCTATAATCCCTAAAACCTGTTCGGCTGTTCCACCCGAGGTGGTTAAAAGTAATTGCAACTTTTCTTCTGCCATATGCTAAGCTAAAAGCAACTTCTTACACAGTGATGACAACTTTAGAGCATAATTGCAACTTCTTACACAGTGATGACAACTTTAGAGCATAATTGCAACTTGAATTCTTCTGCCATATGCTAAGCTAAAAGCAACTTTTCACAGTGATGACTAACTTTAGAGCACCTCCAAGAGTTCTTCAAGAGTCTGTAAAATTTTAACTTTGTACCCTCCAATAATTTTTCTATACATAAGTTTTTCTATAGGTTGAAAGCCATTCTCGCTGATTAATACTCCATTTAGGCCCCGTTTGTTTATTTCGGAACGCGCCGTTCACAGGGTCGTTTCGGGTGGAACAGAACCGTCCATATTGAAAACTGGAGTATGTGATCGAAACCTGGTCCCGGTCCCGGTCCCGGCTGCTGCCGAACGAACCCGATTAATCACAGCCTCGCTAGCTTAGAAGTCAAATCAAAACTCTATTGTCAAAACTCTAGAAATCAAATCAAAACTCTATTGTCAAGGATAATAACAAGGATAGTAGTTACGCATCTCGTCAACTTTGGGCTAAATTTGGATAAGTGACTAGGTTGTGACTTGCCCACTGAATTACCAATTTTTATAACCCCTGCGCTCACTAGGACGTCAACTGGTTCTTTCATCCGGAATGAAGCAGCAGACAGATTAAAGAAACAGCAACGGACACCACGAACCATATAGAAATATGATTAACAAAGCAACATCAGATAACGGAACGGTCAGGTAGAACAGACTACCAGACACAACGGACTTCACAAACATATGAGTTCAACAGGACACAATAGCCCTCAAAAGTCCATTCATACTTGCTGGGACGGAGTGACTTGACTGGTTATTTAGGTGATAACGATTTTGGGGGGTCGGCACATTCACCAGTTTGGCCAGCTTGTAGCCACACTTCTAGCCCATGGCATACTTCTGCGTCCAGGAGCGCGCAGTGGACTCATACTTGGCCCTGTCAGTCTTGTACATGTGAGCAATCTCAGGGACAAGAGGATCATCAGGGTTCGGGTCCGTGAGCAGCGAACAGATTGACAGGAGAACCTGTTAAGACAGAACAGAACAGAACTAACAGATCAGTAACAGTCAGAAATATCTTGAATATACTATTATCAAGGAACATAGACAACATCTCATTAGCTAACTACAATGCCTTATGAAGTAATAGAAAATTCGGCCCAAAAATGTCAAGGGCGTTTGGTTACAATCCAATCGACCCACCTCAGTACTTGCATCTCAATTCATATTTGTTAAGGTGAGAGCCAAAAAGGCCTTAATTCCTCCCAACCATGTGGATTGGGGTGGATCAGTGTGCAGCCAAACAGGCCCTAAAACTCACAACATACACAATGTAGGCAATTTACCTTTGAGATGGTTAAAGCAGGGCTCCACTGTTCCTTAAGGATGTCAAGGCAAATGCTGCCATTGCTGTTAATGTTTGGGTGGAAAACCTTGGTGCGAAAAGACACCTGCAAATAAGCATATCATCTGAACATCAGATCACTTTAACTGATTTAAGAGTCGCCATATGATGTGTTGATTGAGGATGCACAATTGCAGCTCTAGGAATCATAATATACAGGTAGAGCTGGCATTAGAAACCAGAATTTAGAGAAATTACCTTTGGTGGCTTGAAAGGATAATCCGGTGGGAAGTGAATGTTCACCAAGAATACCCCACCTGCAAATGGGCTGTCCGAGGGCCCCATGATGGTAGCTTGCCAATGGAACATGTCCTCACCAACAGGACCTGACAATAAGAACAGTTAGTGCAGCTCTACGCACAGACGGGTGACTACAAAAGTAAAACAAATTGTGACTCAATGGTGGTGGTGGTGAGGGGTTGGGGGGGAGGGTTTCCAACTGGACTGGTCTTCTGATCCCAAATGCACAGGTTCCACACCCAAACAAGAGAATATGATTGGAACAGATGGAGCAAACATCTCAATAATAGAAGCCATCACATATGCAATAGCCATATCAGACTAAACAAAGAACATCAGTATGCCTGCAAAGCTATACATGAATAAAACAAATGCAGAACACATCACAACCTTAACGGACATCCTTGCTGACAAATCATGTCATGATAAGACCCCTTGTGTTTAAGTTAACTGACGACTGATTCTACTATACATTAACTCAGTGGTTTAACTGTACTCAGACAACATATCATGTAAGGACTGATGAACTGACAATATCTCCACCAGCTTTCGAGTCTAATTGACCTCACAACTCACGTGTACAGCTAAGAAAGGAAACACTGATATCATAAACTTGACATCATAAACTTGAGATTACGGAACATGTAAGCACAGCCAAGTAGTGCAGAATCAACCACACGGAATTTTAAAACAAGCATAATAAAGTAACCAAACCAGGGTTCTCAACAAAATAATCACGCAAAACATCACATGCGACCAACACAAGTAGCTAGAGCTCTAACTGCATCAATCACAAGCCGAGGAAACAAACACCAATCTAACACATACGGACGACGCGTACATCGCAATCGCAACACAATTCCGCAAGATCTGGACACAAACCACGGAGCTAGAGAGCAAATCACCTGCGCTGCAGGAGGTGGGCGGGTCCTTCTGCAGGTCCTTCAACTCCTTCAGGATCCTCTTCGACGCCATCGATCAAACCCTAAACAAAATCCCCAAAATCCACAGATCAAATCGAACCTAGGTTAGGGCTCCACAGATCGAGCCGATCGAATCAAGGGAGGGGCCGTACCGATCGGTACCGGGGGGATCAGGCGGGGGTGGCGCGGGTTCGTTGCAGCGGCCGCCTCCCTCTCTTCTCCGAGGCGCGCGGCGGCGACGGCGTGTCGCGGGGGCTCGGGCCACAAACGGGAGGAAGCGAGGAGTCGGGGGAATTGGCTCGGGGGTGCCCGTGGGGTCGTTTTATAGGGCGACGGGCGGACGTGGGCCGTCCGATCGCGGATCCGCGGGCGACGACGACTCGCGTGATGCTTACGCGGGACGCGCACAGGGGGTTCGCCTCTCGGTGCTTTCCGGGTTTCTTTTGCGGAAGAAAAGGGGTGAAAAATCATTGCCCTGATCGGTCACGGTTTGATGAGATGTGTTGGAATGACACGCTTTTGGTGCACATGGATCTCCTGTAAAACTTTGGCCCGCTCTACGGAGATACGGCTCCTCTATTTGTTTTCGTGTAGGCTAGTACTCCATCCGTTACAAATATTATAAAATATTTTGACTTTTAAGATTTTTTTTTTATGTATCTAGCCATAATATATATATATATATGTAAATACATAGAAAAACTAGGAATCTGAAAAAACTAAAGCATCTTATAATTTATACTCCCTTCATTCCAAATTATAAGATATTTTAGTTTTCCTTTATACATTAGTTTTCTATGTATCTAAATATAATGTATATTAAGTGTATAGGAAAAACTATGTATAAAAAAATCATATGTCTTATATTTGAATAAAATGGAGGAAGTATAATAGAGGGAGTACTATATAGTGGATGAAATCGATCAAAATAAACCGAAAAAACTAAAAGAGGTGATGAAATTGAGCTTCAGGCGGTGTTCGCATAAACGGCCTAAATGGCCAATTAAACGGCCACTAAACGGTAAACGGTGATAAACTGTTTTAGTTTAGGGGTAAGCGGAAATTAAATTGTTAATCGTTTAAACGGTCATAAAATAGAAAAAACGGTCTAAACGACCTAAACGGAACGGAGATAAACATTATTAAACGGGCTAAACAGTTGTTTAGGCGAACACGAGGTAAATCTAGTTCAGTTTTGTATAGATAAATTTGTATACTTAAGTTTATTATATTTATAAATGTGTACACTTAATTGTTACATGCATAAATATCTATATTTGGTTTTTTTCACATGCATAAATATATATACATACCAAAATAATTGATTTTTACTCGGATAAATATGTATAAATGCTAGAATACTTGATTTTTTACATGCACATATATAATTATATGTATTTTTTAAAAGGTACAAAACCGTTTAACTTCGTTTAAACACCGTATAAACAGCCTAAACGCTAAACGAATGACGACCGTGTAAAGACCGTTTACCGTTTAGGAAACATTGGCTTTAGGTTTACTCCGGCTTTGTTACAATACTATTGTAGTTTTAGAGACGGAGCCGAAATGCGTCCTTTCAAACCAAGCCTTTTGTGAGTTTTTTTTCATGGAATAGATACGATCCTCATGTCCACAAATACATGTAGGATTATCGTGCCACTAAAACAACAATTAGTCATAAATGTAAGCATAGCACCAAGTCAAAACTTAAACTCGGCTAAGTTCCATTGAAAGATTCGTAGTTACAACTTACAAGGTTTAACATGATATTTATAATTCGCAAAGCAAGCGTAAGGATGCTAGGATCATGACATGATTCAAAAGCAAATTTGAAACACGAGCTACAAAGGAGAATCGAACATTGGCACAGGTGGTTAACCGTAATGGTTCCACCCTGCTAACTAGACCAGGGACCAAAAGCCCTATGTTTAGCGTTACATGTGTCTGATTTTTTTTCAGTCGATATTCGATCGTGAGATCTGTAGCGACTTCAACAATATTAACATATGTAGATCCAATATGTCTAGGCGTCCATAAGTGTATATTGGGTGCATGAATTTGCAACCGATATGCTCCAGACAATATTTCAAAAGAAATAAACAAAAATACAAGACTTATTCCTACCATATTGCAAGTTTCATTGGCTACTTTTGTTTTTCAAATCCAAATTATACTAGCACTCTTAAGCACGTCCAATTGCCATGTGCCTTTTTATCCATTAGACTATCCTAAAATCATGTATCTTTTGGACAAAATAAACAAAACGAACTACAACCTTAAAGGGCCGAACTGTAAAATATAGGCGTCTTAGTATTTTTATAATGTAACTTTTCAAATTTTAATCAAATTTATAGAAAAATATTCCTATATATAAGAAGAGTAAACGCTCAACAAAGATATATTAGCTTTGATGTTATAGTTGTTGGCGTATTTTCTATAAATATATAGTTAAAATTACATATAAAACAAGACACATTTTGCAACACAATTTGAATACTCAAATGGTTACTCTCGTTTTCTTAATCTTCAACACAAGTTTCCCAAGAGTAAAACGAGCTACAACCTTAAAGGGCCGAACTGTAAAGGGAAAATTGGTTCTGTACCACCAAAAGAACTCCGCTTTCGTAAAATGCCATCGAAAGATATCCGTCACTTAAAATATCACCGAAAGGATATCCCATTAACTAGATCTAGCATTCCATCACATTTGGAGATCACACCTAGATTACTCCGTCCTCCTTTCATCCCATACTGAGCTATGTTATACAACTCCCTCTCATTCTTGCTGCGAGTGACGCTAGCGTCAGGGTCCTGAAGCTTGTCACGAGTGGCGACGCCGCGAAGCTCGAAGAGGAAATCGACGGCGCGAGGCTCTAAGAGCTAGGTGTGAATCGTGGACGGGGGTGGGGCGGTGGTGCTTGAGGTGCTGTGGTGAAACTGCTTTCTACATGTGGCCATGGACATGGACGAGCTTCTATGTGCGTGGCCCTTCACCACGCAGACCACGGGCACTAGCTCTGCTGAAAGACGCGCGTGCTCGCCGAGAGTAAGCGCCAACCGGCCGTCTGCAGCCGCAGCTTTTTCGGGCGATCACCGCCGTGTGTGTCGCGATGTCACGACCACCAACAGAGCTCCACAACACGGTTGCGTGGGGGTGCACGAAGTGCACGCAGCCAAGCCACCGGGCGCAAAGCCCCGCCACCGCTAAGCAGACGATAAAGGATGTAATCCTAGCTGTGGTGTTAGTTTGATCAGTGCAAGTCTTTAGTTTCAGGTGTTTCAGTTTAGTCAGTTAGCATGTTAGCAAGCGTCGTGTAATCATGTATTGTGATCGAGTCCAAGTCTTCAGGATATTAGAGTCAGGTGCTCATGTTAGTGGAGCCATAATGAACTTTCACTCTTGTACAGGATTGAGCTACAGATAAGAGCATCATAAACATTGCGCTTCTTGAGCAACACCAAAAATCTCTACTGTTCATGCTGTGATCTTCTCAGTTATTGTGAGCTCGTTTGTTCTCGAGTTAGTTGAAGCTAACAGATAGGGTAGCGGAGTTCCGAGATGGACTCATGGACTATAGAGAACGGCCATGGAACAAAAGAGAGCGTCGGGGAGGTGGAGTGTCAGGGCCTGGAACATGCCAACAAGCGCTGGTGCTCATCGCCATCGGCGCAAGTTCTTCCTCCCTGCATGCGCTCCGAGCTCTTCCTCTCGGAGCGCTCCAAGCTCCCCACGCAGCCATCTTTGTGGAGCTCGCATGGCCGGCGCACGCCGCTTCACACGGCCGATGATCGCTCCCGGAAAAGCTCTTGCAGCAGCTGCAGACGGTGGCGCTTACACTCGGCGAACACGCGTCTTTCTGAGCTCGTGCCCGTGGTGCATGCGGTGAAGGCCCACGCACATAGAAGCTCATCCATGTCCATGGCCGCGGTAGCAGCAGCTCACAGGCACCTCGAAGCACCACCGCCCCACCCCGTCCACGATTCATACCTAGCTCTTAGAGCCTCGTGCCGTCGATTTCCTCTTCGAGCTTCGCGGCGTCGCCACTCGTGGCAAGCTTCAGGACCTTGACGCTAGCGCCACTCGCAGCAAGAAATGAGAGGGAGTTGTATAACATAACTTAGTATGGGATGAAAGGAGGACGGAGCAATCACGGTGTGATCTCCAAATGTAACGGAATTATAGATCTAGTTAACGGGATATTTTTTATTGGTATTTTAAGTGACCGATATCTTTTAATGGCATTTTACGGATGCGGAGTTCTCGTTGCTGAAGAACCAATTTTCCCAACTGTAAAAGTGGCAAAGAAAACTGCCGCAGTGCCGCTTCCCGGTGCTGCCGTCACGCTACTAGCCGCTTGGGATGTCGGCCAGCCATGGCGGCGGGCCGCCGCCTCCTCCATCTTCTGCCGGGGCTGGAGCTATGCCTGCGGTCCCGTGCGCTTACCCTCCTCTCCCCGTCGCGGTACCTCTCTACCCTGACCCCACGCCGCCGCCCAACTCCTACTGATTTCTCTGGCCCCAAATTCACAAACTTTCGCTTCTTTTGCAGGGCAGATGGGATGGCTCGTTGCTGGCGCGAGCCTCCGCGCCGGAAGCTTGTGACCTTCCGGCAAGGTGCTTTCGAAGAGGGGAATGCAGGTGAGGCGTTGATGATGCTACAGAAGTGGTCTTCAATTTGGTGCTCTCTAGACCATTTTGGTTTAATTTAGCTGATTTGGTTGTTGGCTTCTTGCCGCTTGCCGGGCAGCGAGGGATAAGGCTGTGCCGATTCCAGATGAACTGCTCGGCCATTGCAAGGATGCCAATGGCAGGGCCCTAGACCTAGAGCCCATTGGAAAGAACTCTGCCAATGAGTCTCTGCAATTTTCTTTCGAAGAGGAGGAGAGTGACGACGTGGTGTGCGAAATTAGCGAAAGCTTGGTGCGAGATGTGGAGAAGGCTGGAATTGAATTGCTTGCTGCCAGGTGAGAACCGATGAATGATTCCCACCTATAGATGTTTATGGGATTTTCCTGAAACTCTGTCGGTAGCAACATGTGTTGTACTGAATGTTTTTGTTCTATTTCACTCTGTAGTATGAACTGGGTATCGAGCATAAATGAATAGTCTGCTGATCACACACACATACAAATGCACTTGTCTGAAGTCTGAACCAAGTGAATATTTTTCTTGTTGCTGCCAGCGAAATCCATGGATTTTCTCAATTTCTGACATGATGGCTTTGTCTTAGCATCCATAGTCTAATGTAATTTTGTGTGCTATGCATTCAGGCCATTGGATTTTACTTGTTTTTGGCCTAATCTTGTTGCCACTGTTGAGAATGAACACTGAAATATGCCTTGTTTCTCCTGAGCAGAGCTTTCACTGTTTCTGAGCTTAGGAAGAAACTACGAAGTAAGAAGTATCCTTTTGATACAATTGATTGCTGTGATTGCTAATTTCAAGTCAAGGTAAGACTGGTTTCTTTTTGCTTACGGTCACACTATTAAAATTACAACTCTTCATTTACGGAACAGAGGTGGTAGAACTATCATTGTCAATTTTTACAACCTGTGTAGCGTAAACCCCCAAATTTTGTAGAGGGCATTTGTATTTTGTATTTCCAGATTTTTAGTGTTAGATCTAACCAATACCTGTTGCTGATATAACAAGGCATTAGACATTAATATTTAGTTCTAAGAACATCACTCGTTTTGCTATGCCTGTGCTCATATTATTTTTAATGTCTTTGAATTTTACTTCTGAAGGGGTTTGTTGAATGATGGTTTTTATGCTGAATCATTTTCGCGATCCCGGTGGCTATCATCAACATGGGGTCCAAGACGAATAAAACAGGTCAGTGTTTTCTCTCTCCTCTCCCTTGCTGTTTTTCTGAATGAACTGTTGGCACATGTGGCCCTCCTTTATTACAAAAAACCGTTTCATGTTCTGTGACTGTGGGTGGTGAATTCCCCAGAGTTGTCTCCATAAATCTCCATATCTAAAGTCTGTCCAAAGAGGTGAAAGAAAAGTTACTTTGCAAAGGAACTTTATATTCTTATGCCTTCCAATTTCATGTTCTGTGAATGGTGAATTCCCCTGAGCTGTCTACAGAAATTCCTAGTGTAAGATTTGATAATGTCCATATCTAAAGTTCGCCCAATGAGGCAAAAGAAAAGTTACATTGCAAAGGAACTTTATATTCTCATGCCTTCGGATAGTATATTTGTGATGCCTGATTTTGCTCTTGTCGTTATTTGATTCTGTGCTTTGCATCTCCCTGTTAAATTCATAAATAAAATATTTTGTAATTGACATCACCTGCCCTCAAATTAGGCACTTCGCCAAAAGGGTGTGCCAGAGGCAGAAGTAGATCAGGCAACAAGAAGAGTGTTCCAGGATGGTCACGGCCATGGAAAAGAGGCAACGTTTGGCATATCTGAAGCTTCCATGGATCATCTGTTTGCTCAGGCATCCAAACAGTGGCAGCGCGGGCAAAGCTTGACCCTGGAGAATCGCCGTGCGCGCATTGTGAGGTGGCTTCAGTACCGGGGCTTCAACTGGGCTGTGAACAATTCCATTCGCCCTGTTCGCTTGGCTTATAAGACGTACTTTTTCAACCAATGAACAGTATTTTCCTCTCACAATAAATCAGCCAACAGTATTTTCAGTCATGGCAAGCCAAGCGAACAGAACGATTATCAGGAGGCTGGAGGCTCAGCGCCCACCCTGACTCTTCTGCTTTGCAAGTTAGTTTGGTATATGTTTTTTTTTTCTGATTAAATGTTCAGTCAACAGTGGGACAAGAATACAAGACCTATTGCTTTGACATCCTAATTCAGATATTCCAGTTTGGAAAATACGAATGTGAAATCTGACTAGATGAATAGTGATGAACACCTTAAGTTCAAACTGAGAAGTTCAGGCGGGCGCCTCTGCCTCACCTTCTGTTCTTTTGGTCAGTTTTTTATTGATGGAAACTGTGAAATGAAGTATGGACCATGTTGATGATCAGAGAACACAGGGAACAAGTTCATACACACCGAGTCATTGGCAAACGATGAGAATCATAAATAAATTCAACAAAAAGATATATAATAGTACAATGGTATGTTAATTAACATTTTTGTATGCAAAATGCACTGGTAACATCATTAATTATCCAGAAAACAGATAAAACAAAAAGATTTCAGTAGCGTTAAGTATCGCCAGCTCTATTCGATGCTTGTTGATAACTCATTGTACCCAACGACACAAGGAGGAATAGAGGACATCAGGACAATGCTCAGTTGTTCACTGCTGCCGCAACGAATCATTTCGCGCCATCGCCTCTCATGCGTCGGCCGTGCTGGGACCGTCTGATGGGCTGGAGGCGCTTGGCGCGTCCGCGGGAGCACCGCCCGGGCTGGGCGCCGACGCCGACCCGCTTGGCGCCTCTGAGCTCGATGTGGAGGAGCTCGAGGCGCTGTCGGCGGCGTTGGCCAATGGCGCCACGGCCGCGGCGGCCAGGAGGATGACGATGAGCGCGAGAGCACGGGCCACGGCAAGCTTGGTGTGTTGCTAGCACTTGTGACTGAGCTGCGGCGTTGGTGTGTGTGTGTGCGCGGTGCTGGCGCTTGCGTTCTTGCTGCGGTGGTGACGGGAGGGAGGGTGATTCCCGGCGGGTTTTATACGCGGGGCTGGTGGCTATTTTCGGGTGGCGCATTGGGAGGAATCGCTTCGCGCTGGCATGTCCCGGGCTGTGGCACGTCGCCATACTTGCCCGATGAGGGCCTGGCCGTTTTTAGACATCGGCCGGTGGATGTGACGTGTGGCGAGTTTTTCATAGGCTTGTTCCGCTGAGTACGTGCGAAAAGTTCATTGGGAATACTCTTCGGAGCTCCATGGATGATGGATCACCTGTTTGCTCAGGCGTCTAGACAGTGGCCAGAGGCAAAGCCCTGGATTGGTTTAAGGAACTGCAATCAGTTTAAGCCCCTTTAGAATGTAGAAATCATCAATTTATTTTCACAGAAAAATACAGAAAAGGGGGACAAGAAGAAGAAGAACCCCGACCAAGATGTGGAAGAAGACTACTCTGTCATGGTTGAGTTCTTGGAGCTCTTCTTTTGTGTTATCACATCCAGGTTCTTGCCCTCTTTGTTATAATGAAGGCAGTCAAGCTCTTAAACAGTGGTACAAACCCCCCTCAATTTATCAATGAATCCAAACAAATCTTGGAGGTGCTTTGCTGGAATGTAAGAGGATTGAACTCAGATAAGAAGTGGAACTCAATAAGGGACAAGATAGTAGAGAGCAACTGTGATGTGGTCTGTCTCCAAGAAACAAAGAAGGATCAATTTGATTCAACTTTCATCAGAAATATCTGTCCACAACAATTTGATTCCTTTGCTTTCAAGCCATCCATGGGAGCCTCAGGTGGAATTTTGGTATGTTGGAAAGGGAGGATCTTCAATGGAGTAGAAGTTTTCCAAAATGAATATGCAATAACAGTGGAATTCTCATCACATCATAACATGGAAACCTGGCTTTTAACCACTGTCTATGCCCCTTGCACTCCAAATGGGAAGAGATCTTTTTTGGACTGGTTTAAGAATATACAAATGCCAGATGATAGAGAGTGGTTGATTATAGGAGACTTTAACCTTATAAGGAGGCCAGAAGACAGAAACAAAGAAGGGGGTGATGCAAAAGAAATATTTCTTTTTAATGAGGCAATCAACACACTAGGCCTCATAGAACTCCCTCTACATGGAAGGCATTTCACATGGACAAATAAGCAACTATCACCACTGCTAGAAAGACTAGACTGGTTTTTTACATCAAATGCCTAGACCACAAGATACCCAGGGACTATAGTGAAAGGCATGGTCATGGAAACATCTGATCATTGGCCATGTGTGATAGAAATCTCAACCAGCATCCCCAGAAGTAGAATCTTCAGGTTTGAAAACCACTGGTTAGAAAAAGAGGGCTTCATCACCACCATACTGCAGGGTTGGAGTTGCCATCAGTCTATTCTGGACCCAGCTAAGTCCCTGACTGCAAAATTCAAGAACCTCAGGAGAGTTCTGAAGGAGTGGAACCCAAAGACCTCAGGTTTAACAAATGGAATCAGCAATAATAAGTTGATCCTTAATCTGCTAGATACAATAGAATCCTTCAAAGACCTTACAATTCTTGAATGGAACTTCAGAGAAAGAGTAAGTTCAAAATCAATCTATCTTTTAAAGCAGCAAAGGTGTTACTAGAAACAGAGAGGAAAAATTAATTGGGTTAGAGAAGGAGATGCTAGTATAAGATATTTTCATGCTCATGCCACCATCAGGCATAGAAGAAATTCCATTGCCTCTCTGCAAGATTCCACCGGGTCTACTCTGACAGGACATGATGAGAAAGCCAAGCTTCTATGGGAAACTTTCAAAGAAAGGTTGGGGACTACGGACTTCAGACTAATGCTATTCAACCTTAGTGATCTCTTAACAGCCTCTGATAGTCTGAGTATCTTAGAGATCCCCTTCACTAAGCAAGAAATTGATAAGGTTGTTGCTGAGCTCCCAAACAACAAATCTCCTGGCCCAGATGGCTTTAACAATGAATTTGTAAAAAATTGTTGGACTCTCATAGTCACAGATTTCTACAAGGTGTTTGAGAGTTGCTATGAAGAATACCCTTGTCTGAGAAGTCTGAACAGCTCCCATATAGCACTCATTCCAAAGAAAGATGGTCCAATCTCAACTTTTGATTACAGGCCCATATCACAGCTCAACAGTTCTATCAAGATGTTTACAAAACTACTGGCAAATAGGCTACAGAAGGTGATCAAAGGTCTAATTCATAAAAATCAGTATGGATTCATCAAAACTAGAACCATCCAAGATTGTTTAGCATGGGCATTGGAATACATTCACTTGTGTCATAAATCTAGAAAGGACTTGATTATTCTAAAGCTAGACTTTGAGAAAGCTTTTGACAAAGTGGAGCATGAGGCCATTATCCAGATACTTCAGGCAAAAGGCTTTGGTGAGAGATGGATCAAATGGATCAAAGAATTACTATCCACAGCAACCTCCTCAGTCCTACTTAATGGGGTACCAGGCAAGATGATCCAATGCAAGAGAGGGGTAAGGCAAGGAGATCCACTCTCTCCTTTATTTTTTGTTTTAGTGGCAGACCTACTACAATCTGTTCTAAACAAAGCCAAGTCATTGAACCTTCTGAATCTTCCCTTGCCACTAAGATCATCAAATGATTTCCCTATAATTCAATATGCTGATGACACTTTAATCATCATGGAAGCATGCAGCAGACAATTGTTGACCTTGAAAGCCTTGTTACACTCTTTTGGTGAATCAACAGGCTTAAAAGTAAATTACTCAAAATCTGTCATGGTCCCAATCAACACCTCAGAGGAGAGATTACAACATCTAGCAAGAACTTTCAATTGTGAAAAAGGCAGCCTCCCATTCACTTACTTGGGACTCTCTCTAAGTTTAACTAAGCCAAGGGTCATTGACTTCTCTCCTCTAGTCAGTAGGTGTGAAAGAAGATTGGCTGCCACCTCACTCTTTCTCAACCAAGCTGGAAGATTACAATTGACCAATTCAGTGTTCTTAGCTTTCCCAACCTTTTGCATGAGCACCTTTGCTATTAATCCTACTGTAATTACCCAGATTAACAAGTATAGGAAGCTTTGCCTCTGGAGAGGGGCAGATATCAATGCCAATCAAAGACCAAAAGCAGCCTACACAGCAGTGTGCAAATCAAAAGAGGAAGGAGGCTTTGGAGTGATAAATCTTAAAACCCAAAATAAAGCCTTGTTACTCAAGCACTTAAACAAATTTTTCAACAAAGAGGATATTCCATGGGTATCCCTAATCTGGGAAAGTTACTATGATTCAGATAATCTGCCAACTCAGGTAAGGAAAGGATCATTTTGGTGGAGAGATATACTAAAATTGCTGGACAAATTCAAGCGAATGGCAAAGGTGAATATTAACAATGGCAAATCATGTTTTTTATGGTTGGACCTATGGGATAATAGAGTGCCTATGCAAGCATTTCCAGAACTGTTCTCCTTTGCAAAGACAAAGACAACCACCCTGGCAGGAGCAAAACAAGCATCATCACTACTAGACCTCTTTCATCTTCCGCTTTCTCAACAGGCCTACTCTCAACTAACTCAGTTGGAATTAGACCTTCAACAAATAGTACTAAATGATGTATCGGATTTATGGACTTTTCTCTGGAGCTCAGGTAAATTTTCTGTCGCTAAAGCCTACGAACATCTTAGTGGGCACAGTCAGATCCACCCAGGTTTCAAATGGATTTGGAATAGTATCTGTCAAAACAAGCACAAAGTGTTTGCCTGGCTAATCATGAGGGACAGGCTGAGTACAAGAGAGCTACTGAGAAGAAAAAATATGGAACTCCAAGACTATAATTGTGTCCTGTGCAACAATGCAGTAGAAGAATCCCTGCTTCACCTCATGTGCACATGCCCATTTGCTCAAACCTGCTGGGCATGGCTTAACTGTCATATCTCCCCACAATCTGATCTCTATCAGAACATTGAAAACTTCAGAATTCAGCTACAAGTCCCGTTCTTCATGGAAATCATCATAATAATGGGATGGTCTATTTGGAAGGCCCGAAATGGGTTAATCTTCAATCAGGTGCAGCTAGCAGTGGAGCGCACAAAAAGAGCTTTCAAATCAGAATTTGCGCTGATCCTTTTGCGCGCAAAAAGAAGTTACTTTCCCTTTATAGAGCAATGGTTAAACCGTCCTGTTTAATATTTTTAATTTATCTTATTTTCTTCCTTTCTTTCTTTGTCTCTTGAACTCCTTAGTTCACTCCTGTACAGTCTTTTTTTTTT